AAAAAATTTTAAAAAAAAAAAAAAAAAAAAATCCCCCAAAATCTCCCCCCAAAAAACACAAAAATAAAAAAAAATCCCCCCAAAATTCAGAAAAAGTGCCCCAAAAACACCTCAAAACTTCTTTGCAAAAAAACCAGGAAATCCTCAAAAAATTCCCCCCCAAAATTCCCTAAAAATTTTAAAAAAAAAATCCCAAAAAACCTCAAAAAAATTCCCTGAAAATAAAAAAAAAAAAAATCAAAAAAAACCACCAAAAATGAAACAAAAATCCCCTTCAAATTCCCTAAAAATCCCCTCAAAAAAAAATTCAAAAAAAATTCTAAAAAATTAGTTTCAACTCCCCCGAATTCCCAAATTCCCCAGACGCTCCCGGAATTCCCGGAATTCCCGGGAAATTCCCGTTTTTCCGCCCGTACGGAGACGATGTCGGCGATGCAGCGATTCAGGTTCCCTTTGTCGTCCTTGATGGTGATGGGTCGATCCTCGCGGATCCGCTCCATGGCCAGGGGACAATCCAGCTGGAAAATTCCCGGAATTCCCACCATTCCCAAAAAATTCCCCATCTTCTGTCACGCCTCGAGCCCAAAATTCTCGGAATTCCCACCAAAATCCCCATCAAAATATTAAAAAAAACCCAAAAAAAAATCGGAATTTTAGTCCCTAATATTCTCATTTCAGGCTCAAAATTCCCAAAATTTCCAGAATTCCCGGATTTTCCAATCCACCATCCAAATTCAAGCCCAAAATTCCGCGAATTCCTGCCGAAGTCCCCGTAAAAATCCCCCAAAATCTGAATTTTAGTCCCAAATATTCTCATTTCAGGCTCAAAATTCCCAAAATTCCCGGATTTTCCAATCCACCGTCCCAATTCAGGTCCAAAATTCCCGGAATTCCCGCCAAAATCCTCATAAAAATCCAAAAAATTTCCCAATTTTACCCATAAATTCCCACAATTCCTCAGCCCCAGAATTCCCAATCCCGAAATTCCCAATTTTCGGTCACGGATTTCCAAAAATTCCAAAGAAAACCCCCAAAAATTCCCAATTTTACCCCAAAATTCCCCAAATTCCATCCCAAATTCCCCAATTTCATCCCCGAATTTTCAATCCTGGAATCTCCCAAATTTCAGCCCCAAATTCCCAAATTTTTTTCATTTCATTTCTCCACTTCCACCCCAAAATTCCCCTCAAAAATCGCAAAAAAAGAAATTCCCAAAAACTCCCCCCAAAAAACCTAAAAATCCCAAATTTTCACCTCAAATTCCCATTCCCAAAATTCCCAGATTTAATCCCGGATTTTTCCAGTCCTCTGCTCCACTTCAACCTCAAAATTCCCTCAAAAATACCCCCCAAAATTCCCAAAAAATCCAAAAAAATACCCCCAAAAAATCCTAAAAATCCCAAATTTTCACCCCAAAATCCCAACCCTGGAATCCCCAAAATTCCAACCCCAAATTCCCAAAATTCCCCGATTTCATTCCCAAATTTTTCCGTTTCATTTCTCCACTTCAACCCCAAAATTCCCTCAAAAATCCTTCTCCGAAAATTCCCAAAAATCCAAAAAAATCCCCAAAAAACCCCCCCCAAAACCCCGAATTTTTGCCCCAAATTCCCAATCCCAAAATTCCCAGATTTCATTCCCAAATTTTTCCATTTTATTTTTCTGCTTCGACCCCAAAATTCTCCCAAAAAGTCTCCCCCCAAAAACCCCTGAAAGTTAAAAAAAAACCCTCAAAAATCCCAAATTTCTGCCCCAAATTTCCAATCCCAAAATTCCCAAATTTTCCCATTTAACTTTTCCGCTTCAATCCCAAAATTCCCTCAAAAACCCCCAAGAAAAACCTCCAAAAAATCCAAAAAAAAATCCCCAAAATTCCCCCAAAAATTCCTTTAAAACTTCACGTTTTTTTCTCGAATTCCTGGAATTCCTGAATTGCCAAAATTCCCAAATTTCATTCCCAAATTTTTCCGTTTCACTTCACTTCCCCCTCAAATTACCTCAAAAATCCCTAAAAAAATCCCCAAAAAACCCCAAAAAAACCCCAAAAAATTCTGAAAAAATTCCCAAAAAAATCCTCAAAAAATCCCGAATTCCCAGAATTCCCGAAATTCCCGAAATTCCCGGAATTCCCACCCGGAATTTCCGGCAGAACTCATCGATGGACGCGATCTCCGCTCCCTGCACCTGTTTGAGGGCAGCCTTGAACTGCACCAACAACCGGGAACAGGCGGCCGTGTACCTGAAAAATCCCGGGAAAAATTCAAAATCCGGGAATTTTTTTAAGGAATTCCCGACTTTTCCAAGGGTTTTTTGGGAATTTTTTTGGGAATGTTTTGCCGTACTCGTTGGGGGTGACGCAGTCTTTGATGTACGCCTTCTCCAGAGCCTGCAGAGTCTTCACCACCGCAAACAGCTCGGCCATGTTGTCGTACCTGGGAATGTTCTGGAATGTTCTGGGATGTTCTGGGGTGTTTGGGGATTTTTTGGGAATTTTTAGGGATTTTTTGGGAATTTTTAGGGATTTTTTGGGAATTTTTGGGGGGATTTTTGGGGGGTTTTTGGGG